GAGTATACAGATTTTAAAGACCTATCTTTTGACTCTTACATATTACCAACTGTAGACTTACCCCTTGGCCATTTCCGTCTCCTAGAAGTTGACAACCGCATCGTTATTCCAATAGAATCCCCAATTCGAATCATTGTCACAGCTGACGATGTCCTCCACTCCTGAGCTGTTCCTAGCCTTGGTGTAAAAACCGATGCAATTCCAGGACGACTGAATCAAACTTCTTTTATCACAACCCGTCCTGGAATCTTCTATGGTCAATGCTCAGAAATCTGTGGAGCTAACCACAGCTTCATACCCATCGTAGTAGAATCAGCCCCTCTAGCAGACTTCGAAAACTGATCTTCACTTCTAACATCCTAATCGTTAAGAAGCTATGAACCAGCACTAGCCTTTTAAGCTAGAGAAAGAGGACTACTCACCCTCCTTAACGACATGCCCCAATTAAACCCAGCACCCTGACTCTTCATTATGCTTGCTTCATGATTCACCTTCTCCCTCATCCTTCAACCTAAACTCTTACAATTTACTCCAACTAACCCGCCCTCTAACAAAACACTACCCACTATAAAAACCCACCCCTGAAACTGACCATGAACCTAAGCTTCTTTGATCAATTCATAAGCCCAACACTCCTCGGAATCCCCCTTATCCTCATCTCACTGTTATTCCCTACTCTCCTACTTCCATCTCCTAGCAGTCGATGAGTCACAAACCGTCTTTCAACTCTTCAACTCTGATTCTTCCACCTAATCACAAAACAACTAATATCCCCATTAAACAAGAAAGGCCACAAATGGGCTCTAATTTTATCATCACTCATAACTATACTGCTAATAATTAACCTATTAGGCCTCCTACCCTATACATTCACACCTACTACTCAATTATCAATAAACCTAGCCCTCGCCTTTCCTTTATGATTCGCCACCCTACTAACGGGCCTACGAAACCAACCTTCAGCTTCTCTAGGTCACCTCCTACCAGAAGGTACCCCTACGCCCCTAATCCCTGCCCTCATTATAATTGAAACAACAAGCCTCCTCATTCGCCCCGTAGCCTTGGGAGTCCGCCTCACAGCTAACCTCACAGCAGGACATCTACTCATTCAACTCATTTCAACAGCTACTGCCGTCCTCCTCCCCATTATACCCACCGTATCCTTCCTAACTATAGTTATTCTTCTCCTCTTAACAATTCTAGAAGTAGCCGTAGCAATAATCCAAGCCTATGTCTTTGTTCTCCTATTAAGCCTTTACTTACAAGAAAACATTTAACCCCTAATGACACACCAAGCCCACTCCTTCCACATAGTAGACCCAAGCCCTTGACCCATTTCCGGAGCAGCAGCTGCTCTCCTTACTACCTCCGGATTGGCCATATGATTTCATCACAATTCCATATTACTCTTACTTCTAGGCCTACTTTCCATAATTCTAGTAATAATCCAATGATGACGTGATATCGTACGAGAAAGCACATTCCAAGGCCACCACACCCTTACAGTCCAAAAGGGCTTACGCTACGGAATAATTTTATTCATTACATCTGAAGCCTTCTTCTTCCTAGGATTTTTCTGAGCATTCTTCCACTCCAGCCTAGTCCCTACCCCAGAACTTGGAGGGCAATGACCCCCTATGGGAATCAAACCCCTCAATCCAATAGAAGTTCCCCTACTTAATACTGCCATTCTCCTGGCCTCAGGAGTTACCGTCACATGAGCCCACCACAGCATTACAGAGGGTAATCGAAACCAAGCTACTCAGGCCCTACTTATAACGGTCTTACTGGGATTTTACTTTACTGCACTTCAAGCAATAGAATATTATGAAGCCCCATTCTCAATTGCCGATGGAGTTTATGGATCTACCTTCTTCGTGGCTACAGGATTCCACGGCCTCCATGTAATCATCGGATCATCCTTCCTCCTAATCTGCCTCCTCCGTCTCATCAAATACCACTTTACACCCAACCACCACTTTGGCTTTGAAGCAGCGGCTTGATACTGACATTTTGTTGATATTATCTGACTATTCCTCTACATAACAATCTACTGATGAGGATCTTGCCCTTCTAGTATATTTATTACAATTGACTTCCAATCTCTAAAATCTGGATAAAAGCCAGAGAAAGGCAATTAACATAATCCTCTTTATATTTATAATCTCTCTATCACTATGTATTATTCTAACCTCATTGAACCTTTGACTGGCTCAAATAAACCCAGATTCAGAAAAACTATCCCCATACGAATGTGGCTTTGACCCGCTAGGCTCCGCCCGCCTCCCCTTTTCAATCCGATTCTTCCTTGTTGCAATCCTATTTCTCTTGTTCGACCTGGAAATTGCCCTCCTACTACCTCTACCATGGGCCACTCAACTCCTCTCTCCCCTTACCACTCTGACCTCGACCTTCGCTATCATCTTACTCCTCACGCTTGGATTAATCTATGAATGAATTCAAGGGGGCTTAGAATGAGCAGAGTAACTACAGAAAGTTAGTCTAATAAAGACAGTTGATTTCGGCTCAACAGACCACAGTCCTACTCCGTGACTTTCTTAATGACCTTCCTACACTTAAGCTTCTACTCTGCCTTCACCCTAAGTAGTCTAGGGTTAGCTTTTCATCGAATACACTTAATTTCCGCCTTACTATGCTTAGAAAGCATACTATTATCTATATACATTGCACTATCCATGTGGCCTATCCAAACCCAAACAACCTCCCCTTCCTTAATGCCTGTTCTCATACTAGCATTCTCAGCCTGTGAAGCAGGCGCCGGCCTAGCAATCCTAGTAGCCTCCACCCGAACTCATGGCTCAGATCATTTACACAATCTAAACCTCCTGCAATGCTAAAAGTCATTCTCCCCACAATTATATTACTCCCCATAACCCTCTTATCACCCTCAAAATTTTTATGATTTAATGTTACTTTTCATAGCTTCCTAATCGCAGCAGCCAGCTTACAATGACTTCCTTTAACCTACTACCCTACCAAGAACTTATCCCCATGACTCGGCACCGACCAAATCTCATCCCCCCTACTAGTCCTATCCTGCTGACTTCTTCCTCTTATAATTTTAGCTAGCCAAAACCACCTCCAACAAGAACCTCCTACACGAAAGTATATCTTTATCACAACCATAATCCTTACTCAGCCATTTATCATCCTAGCCTTTTCAGCTCTAGAATTGATATTATTCTATATCGCGTTTGAAGCCACCCTAATCCCCACCCTAATTCTAATTACACGATGAGGCAGCCAACCAGAACGTTTAAGTGCTGGAATTTACCTCTTATTTTATACACTAATTAGTTCTCTTCCCCTACTAGTTGCCATCTTATATCTTCACACTCAAACAGGAACCATACATATTACCCTAATAAAACTTTCACACCCCTCTCTTACAGATTCTTGAACAGGCCTCATATCAAGCCTAGCCCTACTACTCGCTTTCATAGTAAAAGCTCCTCTTTATGGACTTCACCTATGACTCCCAAAAGCCCATGTAGAAGCACCAATCGCAGGATCTATACTTCTAGCTGCACTCCTCCTCAAACTTGGAGGTTATGGTATTATACGTGTTTCAATAATCACAAATTCCCTTCTAGACTACCTTCACTACCCCTTCTTAACCTTAGCCCTATGAGGAGCATTAATAACAAGTTCTATCTGCCTGCGCCAAATCGATCTTAAATCACTAATTGCCTACTCCTCAGTAAGCCACATAGGCTTAGTCATTGCTGCAACAATAATCCAAACCCACTGATCCTTTTCAGGAGCCATAATCCTGATAATTTCACATGGACTTACCTCTTCCATACTATTTTGCCTAGCTAATACAAATTATGAACGCATACATAGCCGCACTCTCCTCCTAACACGAGGCCTACAACCCCTCTTACCTCTCACAGGAATCTGATGGCTTCTAGCCAACCTAACTAATATGGCCCTTCCTCCAACCACCAATCTAATAGCTGAATTAACTATCATAATTGCTCTCTTCAACTGATCTACCTTTACCATTATCCTGACCGGAGCCGCAACCTTATTGACTGCAGCCTATACCCTCTACATACTCCTTATAACCCAACGAGGACCAACTCCAACTTACATTACTACCACCCAAAACTCGAATACACGAGAACATCTTCTTATAACACTTCACATCCTACCCTCCCTCCTCCTTATTTTAAAACCAGAGCTAATCTCAGGAATCCCCACATGCAAGCATAGTTTTAAACCAAACATTAGACTGTGATCCTAAAAATAGAAGTTAAACTCTTCTTGCCTGCCGAGGGGAGGTTTAACCAACAAGAACTGCTAACTCTTGCATCTGAGCTTAAGACCTCAGCCCCCTTACTTTTAAAGGATAATAGCAATCCACTGGTCTTAGGAGCCATTTATCTTGGTGCAAATCCAAGTAAAAGTAATGGACCTCCCATTAATTCTTAATACATCCATATTCCTAACCTTAACCATTCTTTTTACCCCTATTCTACTCCCCCTTCTATCTAAAAACTACCAGAACTCCCCATCTACTATTATACATACTGTTAAAACTTCCTTTATAATCAGTTTAATTCCTATAATCCTTTCCATCTATTCTAACATGGAAAACACTACTTTCTATTGAGAATGAAAATTCATTACAAACTTTAAAATTCCCCTTAACCTTAAAATAGATCAATACTCCTTAATATTTTTCCCCATTGCACTATTCGTAACATGAGCTATTCTACAATTTGCAACATGATACATAGCTTCAGAACCTTACACCACAAAATTCTCTCTTTACCTCCTAATCTTTCTTATCGCTATACTCATCCTAATCATCGCTAACAACCTATTTCTTCTATTTATCGGCTGAGAAGGAGTTGGAATTATATCCTTCCTCCTAATTGGATGATGACATGGCCGAGCAGAAGCCAATACCGCTGCACTTCAAGCCGTACTTTATAACCGTATTGGAGACATTGGATTAATTCTCTCCATAGCATGACTAGCATCTTCTACTAATACCTGAGAGATTCAGCAATCATTCTCCTTAAATCAAACACCCCTTCTCCCTCTCATAGGGCTTATTCTAGCAGCTACAGGAAAATCTGCCCAATTTGGCCTCCACCCGTGGCTCCCAGCCGCTATAGAAGGACCAACTCCTGTATCTGCCCTACTTCATTCCAGCACAATAGTAGTCGCCGGAATCTTCCTTCTTATTCGCACTCACCACATATTATGTAGCAATCAAATCGCCTTAACTATGTGCCTTTGTATGGGTGCCTTATCCACATTATTTGCCGCTACATGCGCTCTTACCCAAAACGACATCAAAAAAATTATTGCTTTCTCTACATCCAGCC